CAAACACATCAGCCCAGCTGCGGCCCCTCCCCTCTCCAAACCAGGCCTGTCCTGGCACTGCCACAGCGTTTCCACACTGCAGCTGCCGACAGAGGACACTGGCTGCTCTCATATCCCAGGATGCATCACATACTGTCCCCCACTCACTGAGGTACTGCAGCTCCACCCTCCCAGAGCAGGAGTCAGGGCCGCCCACCAGCCTGGAGTCTGTGTACCCTGCAAATAGCACAAGGGAAGGTAAAATTTGATTATGCTAAAAGTTCCTAGTATTTAAGGAAATTCAAACACATGATGCATTTAAACATGATGTTGAACTTGGTCTATTTACTGTGTTGATGTGTAATTTATATTTACTGATTTACAAGCCATTGATATGTTTTCTGACTAGTAGTTCTTACCAGAACACAGCAGTCCCACATCATCATCATGGGAGCAGTTCTCAGTCTTTGAGGATGATTTTGGGCAGAAGTAAATATGAGATTCATTCCCTCTACACTGAATCTCCTCTCTCCACACCTGGTCATGCCCCTTCCCAAACACAGCCCCCCCCCAGCACCTCTACAGGGATCCCACAGCCCAGCTGCCGACACACAACCTCTGCATCCTGCAGGTCAAAGTCAGAATCACACACTGTGCTCCAGGTAACTCCATGCCTCATCTCTACTCTCCCAACGCACTGGTGTGCACCTTGGACCAGTCTGACCACTCGATGATCTGCAAATATAAGGATAAATGAGCATTTCATACAATCAGGTGTCTCTCTTTCCTCTCCTGTGTCTGGCAGTGTTCTACTCTTCTTTTACTGCTGTACTTCTGCTGTTCCATCAGTCCGTTATGCTGCTGCTACTGTTGATGAATCTATTTCAAGTGGATGGAACTCCACCTTGTGCCTTATGATGCAACTTTTTGGTGTTTATGCTTGAGAGTAGGGCTGCAACAACTAATCGATTTAATCGATTAAAATCGATTATTAAAATAGTTGCCAACTAATTTAATAATCGATTAGTTGGGTCTACGTTATTATACACATAAGTACAGTGGCAACCTCCTAATTTGGGAGCAGTAAGCTAGCAGAGCCGGTGGTGGCAGTAAAGTACCATTAAGCTGGATGCCGACCGCCATAAAAGAAAA